TGGCCGCCGTGAGGCCTCACCGTGGCCTCCGAAAGCCGCCACTGGCCGTTCTCGCCACTGGCCGACCCTCCCAGGCTGGAGCGACCCCGAGGGCTGGAGCTCCCCGCAGTGCCGCCTGGCCTGCCCCTGCGGGCCGCCGCGGCCCGCCGCGGGCTCCCCGCCGCGCTGCGGCGCGTGGGCGGCCGCCGCCGCGGCCACGGGACCCGCCGCCGCCGCCGCCGGCGGTGGGCCCCGACGGCCTCTGGGCGGCCGGCGACGGCGGCGACGATCAGCCTGACGACGACGACGACGCCGACGCCGTCGCCGTCGTCGGCGTCGGCGTCGGCGTCGGCGTCGTCGGCGTCGTCGAGCTCGACGTCGTCGGGCTCGGCGTCCTCTGGCTCGGCGTCGGCGTCGGCGTCGTCGTCGTCGTCGTCGTTGTCAAGCTCGTCGTCGTCGTCGTCGTCGTCGTCGTCGTCGTCGTCGTCGAGGCTTTCAAATTTTTCGAAAAACCAAGAAGAAGCCCACCCTCGACGGGCTCCGGGCGGCCAAGAAGGTCCAGCCCGACGCCGACGGCGTCGTGAGCGTCGTCGAGCTCGTCGTCGTCGGGCTCGGCGTCGGCGTCGCCGTCGTCGAGCTCGTCGTCGTCGGGCTCGTCATCGTCGTCGTCGTCGTCGCCGTCGTCGCCGTCGTCGTCGTCGTCGTCGTCGTCGTCGTCGTCGTCGTCCTCGTCCTCGTCCTCGTCCTCGTCGTCGTCGCCGTCGTCGTTGTCGGGCTCGTCGTCGTCGTCGTCGTCGTCGTCGTCGTCGTCGTTGTCGGCGTCAGCGTCGGCGTTGGCGTCGGCATCGGCGTCGTCGTCGTTGTCCCCCTCCAGATGTCGGCGGCACCAGCCGCAAGGCCTTCAAAGTTTTCGAAAAACCAAGAAGAAGCCCACCCTCGACGGGCTCCGGGCGGCCAAGAAGGTCCAGCCCGACGCCGGCGATGGGGTCGTCGGCGTCGTCGAGCTTGTCGTCGTCAGGCTCGTCGTCCTCGGGCTCGGCGTCGGCGTCGGCGTCGGCGTCGTCGAGCTCGTCGTCGTCGTCGTCGTCGTCGCCATCGTCGTCGTCGTCGCCGTCCTCGTCGTCGTCGTCGTCGTCGTCGTCGTCGTCGTCGTCGTCGTCATCCCCCTCCAGATGTCGGCGGCACCAGCCGCAAGGCCTTCAAAGTTTTCGAAAAACCAAGAAGAAGCCCACCCTCGACGGGCTCCGGGCGGCCAACAAGGTCCAGCCCGACGCCGACGATTCCAACGCCGTCGCCGTCGTCGGCGTCGTCGTCGGCGTCGGGGTCGTCAGCGTCGTCGAGCTCGTTGTCGTCGGGCTCGGCGTCGGCGTCGCTGTTCGTCGTCGGGCGCGTCGTCGTCGCCGTCGTCGTCGCCGTCGCCGCTGTCGTCGTCGTCATCGTCGTCGTCGTCGTCGTCGTCGTCGTCGTCGTCGTCGTCGTCATCGTCGTCATCGTCGTCCCCCAGGCGCACGGCCTTCCAAATTTTCCAAAAGAACATAGCAAGACCCGCCCTTGACGGGCTCCAGGCGGCCAAGCCCGACGCCGACGACGCCGACGCCGTCGTCGGCGGCGGCGGCGGCGTCTGCGTCGGCGTCGTCGGCGTCGTCGAGCTTGTTGTCGTCGGGTTCGGCGTCGGCGTCGGCGTCGTCGAGCTCGTCGTCGTCCTCAAGCTCGTCGTCGTTGTGGTCGTCGTCATCGTCGTCGTCATCGACGTCGTCGTCGTCGTCGTCGTCGTCGGGCTCGTCGTCGGCGTCAGCGTCGGCGTTGGCGTCGGCATCGGCGTCGTCGTCTTCGTCCCCCTCCAGAAGTCGGCGGCACCAGCCGCAAGGCCTTCACAGTATTTTGAAACCGGAGAAAAAGCCCGCTCTCGACGGGCTCTGGGGCGCCGTGAAAGGGAGGGAGGGGTGAAACATGTGGCCCTAAAGGGGCCCTGAGGGCCCAAAAAGGGCCCCCAAAGGGGCCCCTCTCCTCACCCGCCATTTCAGTCTCCCTCCCTTCATAGAGGCCGTCCAGATGGGGTCCGAGCAGGTGGGGTCCCAGATGGGCGGCCGTTCAGGTCTAGGCCACCCAGATGGGGTCCGAGCACACTGAGGACCGATAGTAAGGATGATCGACTTCCCAAGGGTAGGTACCCTTGCTTCCTTGCCTCTTCGGTCATCTTCGGTCCATCCTCGACCACTTTCGATGGCCAGCCCCGCTCGAAAAGCTTCGGCATGGGCGTCCGAGGCCCTCGCATCGTTATCGCGCATCCTTACTATCAGTTTTGATTGTAGATTGGGTCGGAGGATCGCGCCGCATCGCCGATGCATCGGCGATGCGGCTCGGTGCGGAGCCCGATTTTCGCCGTGCCGACGGTGGCGATGCATCGTCGACGGCACCGATGCATCGCCGATGCATCGCCGAGCAATCGCCAGTGCATCGGCGATGCGGCGCGTTCCCTCGACCCCATCGATTCGGGAGGAGGAGGAGGAGGAGGAGGAGG